CACGCTCATGGCGGTCTTCTGCTAGCTGGGCACCTGCCCTGTGACGGCCAGGGGAGGAGCGGCAGGCGCCCTGAGGCCTCCTCCTCTGTCTGCCTGCCTGCCTGTCTGTCTCCCTTTCTCCCTCTCTGTTCCTTTCCCTCTTCCTTTTTCTTTCTCCCCCCTCTTCTCTCTCTTCCTCTCCTTCTACCTCTCTCTCCCTTTCCCTCTCGCTCTCCCTCTCCTCTCTCTCTCTCCTCTCTCCATCTCTCCCCCTTCCTTTCTTTCCCCCTCTCCTCCCCCGTCTTTCTCTCTCTTCCTCTTCTCCCCCTCACCACTTTCTCTCCATGCTTTAATTCTTGTTGTAACCTAGAGACTAGGAACAAGCGAGACAGTACAGGGGTGAGGCACTTGCCTTGCCTGCAGCCAACCCCGATTCAAACCCCGGCACCACATTTGGTCCCCGGCCCCTGGGCCCGCCAGGAGCAGACCTCAAGCACCAGAGTCCCCTCCCCCCAAGTTAAGAAGCCAATACGCTCAGCAGAGGCTGTGCTCAGGGGTGCTGGGGGCGGCCGGCTCCTAAGGGGGTTCTCGAGGGTGCTCACGGGCATGCAGGCGATGGGTCACATCAGGGCCTCCAACTCGCCACACAGGCTGTCTCTCCAGCACCCCGAACATCCTTTCATTTGATGACTGAACATTCCAGAACCATTACTAAGCCCTGAGCTGACACCTTTCCCGGGATGCCGGGACCAACGTCACTAGCTATTCCCCAACTTCAAGCTGGTCATATCTCCCGACTTTGCTGCCTGTTGAGTTTCCCAGGCTGCCAGGGCTAAGTTGGAGGTGATTGAGTTCAGCGGTACCTGCTTGGATGAATTTTGTTTTTTGGTTTTTGTTTTTTCTTTTTGGGTCACACCCAGCGATGCTCAGGGGTTACTCCTGGTTCTGCACTCAGGAATTACTCCTGGTGGTGCTTGGGGGACCATATGGGATGCTGGGGATCGAACCCAGGTCGGCCAACCCAGGTCGGCCTCGTGCAAGGCAAGCGCCCTACCCGCTGTGCTATCACTCCAGCCCCTTGGATGTAATTTTGAACCCAATGTTGTGTATCAGGCACGAAAATTTAGGGCCAGAGAGATAGGAGCACGGAGAAGGTGATTTCTCACACCCCATAGGGTCCCCTGAGCCACCCCAGGAGGAGTCCTGAGCACAGAGCCAGGAGTCGGTCCTGAGCACCATTGGGTGTGACCTACCCCACAAACAAAAACAAAATCCCAAAACCAAAGGCACGCCTGCGGGGGTGGGGCTCAGTCCTACGCTTGGGCCCCCTGACCCCACCCCGCCCCTTCCCGGGCACCTGAGGGGGAGGTGTGGGTGTGTATTGACCAGCCCACAGTATCGCTCCTACCTCACCATGCTTGCCGTGAGTCAATAGGAGGAGTTGCTGCCACCTCAGCCCGTGACCTGCCTCACACCAGGGTCTGGACCTGGGGACCCGGATGTGTGGCCGCCAGGTGGAACTGGACACTGGTGGGCACTCGGATGTCAGCTCCCAGGCCGGGTCACGATCGTCTTCCTGAGACCCACAGGCGGACCTAGAGTGACCCCGGGAACTAGGAACCAGAGCTGCCCGTGACTGCACACAGGGTGGCAGGATGACCTGGGGGAGAGGTGACCAGGGAGTGCCCAGCACCCGGGTTCCGCTCAGTCTCAGCTCCAGCCCTGCCAGGAAGGAGCGCGACCATGTCCATAGCTCTGAGACTTGGTGTGGGGAGCAGCACCGAGTGGACACGCCCTGCCCCCCAATTCCAGCCTCAGGGCAGGGGCCCCTGAACTCGGCCCTGATGCCCACCTTCCACTTCTCACGGCTTCACCTACACGGCAGGCACCGGGTGCGAGGCAGAATCGGGCTTGGCCGCCTTCCCGCTGGCCTCCACCTGGGTGTCGCAGGTACCCAGGGCTTCGTGCCAGGCCTCGGCTGCCGCAGAGGCGGACGGTTCAGGAGAAACCAGCCCAACAACTTCCCAGGCGTCTGGCCGGCTCCTGGCAGGGCCCACAGGGCTACAGACACGGCTCCCCTTGACCTCAGCCGCCCCATGTCCTGCGTCCTCCCCTCTGACCTCCGGGTGCCAGTGATGCAGTTGCTCCAGTCTTGTTTTGTTTTGTTTGGGGGGGCCACGCCCGGCGATGCTCAGGGCTTGCTCTTAGCTCTACACTCGGGGATCACTCCTGGTGGTGCGCAGGGGGTCCTGTGGGATGCTGGGGATTGAACCTGGGTTGGTTGCAGGCAAGACAAGTGCGGTACTATCCCCGGTACTATCTCGCTTGTTCCTAGCCGCTAGTTTACAAAAGGAATCAAAACACGGAGGGCCTGGAGCCATAGCACAGTGGGTAAGGCATTTGCCTGGCACACAGCCGACCCGGGTTCAATTCCCGGCATCCCATATGGTTCCCCCGGGCACCGCCAGGAGTAACTCCTGAGTGCATGAGCCAGGAGTAAACCCTGAGCATCACTGGGTGTGACCCAAAAAGCAAAAAAACAAAAACAAAAACACGGAGACAAAGTGGTGGGGGATGAGAGGAAGAGAGAGAGAAAGAGAGGGAGAATAAAAGAAGAGAAGGAGAGAGAGAGAGGGAGAGGGGGAGAGAGGGAGAAGAGGGAGGGAGTGCAAGAAATGGTGAGGACCTTACCCATTGGCGTGTGTCTTGGGCCCTGTTCTTGTCTTCCAAAGGGAAACTGAGGTTCCTGACAGGAAAGGCATTCATTGCCCCTAGGGGTGAGGGGAGTGGGGATCTCGGTGGGTGCCGGCGTCCTACTGGGCCTCCCGGTGCTGGGAGGTTCAGTCCCCGTCGGTCCACAGAGCGCAGTTGCCCTGATTCAGCGTGAGTCGTGGCGAAACTGGACAGACCTCTTTCCACTAATGAGAGCCTCATCCTCCCGGCTGCGCCCCGTGCCCCGGGCACCCGGCGGGTGAGTGGGCGACTGCCGAGTATATAGGCCTCATCCCGGGGCAGGAGGCCCAGAGTCCGAGGGAACCCCAAGGGTGCTGGAGCTGATCCCTGCCAAAGGAGGGGTCCGCCCTGCTTTCCCACACGTCCTGACTTGGTGGTCCAGCCCTGCTCCAGGTACGGCCTCCCGGGTCGCTCGGAAGCTGGGGTGTCCTGGGGTGCTCCCTGGAAGTGTTGATTTTTTGGGAGGGGGGTTATACCCAGCGATGCTCGGGGGTTCCTCCTGGCTCTGCACTCAGAAATTACTCCTAGCGGTGTTCAGGGGACCCTATGGGATGCTGGGGATTTGAACCCAGGTTGGCTGTGTGCAAGGCAAACGTCTCCCCCGCTGTGCTATTGTTCTGGCCCGGAGATGTTGATTTTTAGAGAGCGTCCCGTCCCAGACCACCAAAGGGCGATTCTGCCCTTATGCCCATGCTGGCCTTCTAGCATGATGCTCAGTGGTCCTGTTCTGGCTGCCTGGGCAGGGGGGCCCGTCTGCCTGACGGGCTGCAGGCCAGAGCCCTGGATGTGAGGGCTGTTCTGTTTGTCTCTGTTTGGTTGGGGGTCACACCCGGCGGTGCTCAGGGCTTTCTCCTGGGTGTTTGGGAACTCCATGTGGTACCTGCACCCCTCTACTCTTTCTCCCGACCCCAGAGAGGGGGTCCGTGCCGTGGACTCACAGCCCCCCTTCCCAGGCTGGGCTGGAAGGCGGCAGCCCCCTCTCCCGCCCCACTCGAACAGATTCCATGAATGAGGAGCGTTTCTCCGGGAGGCGCTGGGGGCCTCCCCTCCCCCACAGAGGGCCTGCTCCCTGTGTCACCCAAGGCTGGGGGTGCAGGGTGGCCCTGGGCCCCTTCCCGTCTGTTTCCCACTCCAAAGTGGCTTGTGAGTCTCAGAACAGTCCGGAGAGCCGGCCAGGAACAGCGGGGCAGTCTCCGGGCTGTGGACACTTCTGTGGGGGTGTGCACACGAGGGGAGAAGGAAGAGGTGGGCAGCACCCTCCGCCTCTTCCGAGGGCACCTCCGGGCTTCACCCCCCAAACTGTGGGCGGAGAGCCTAGTGATTAGGGACAGGGTTTCTGGAATCCCTCGCACCAGTGGTGGGCTGTGGGCTCCTGTGTGCGGTGCTTAGCTCTGCATGTATGTGTGTGTGTGGGGCGGGGGGAGGTCATGGGATTGCAAGCTACGTTGACTCTGGGGGCCTTAGATGAACCCCCTGACATGCTCCTTAGCGAGCCATCCTAGACCCACAGACCTGGTCTTCCCCGGCTCTTCTAAGTGGCCACAGGTCTTGTCTCTGGACGCTGGAGCCGGGTGGGTGGGGGATGGGCAGAGATGTGAGGGGGTGGGGGGTGGAAGACAGCTCTGCCGCCAGCGACCCCCTCACTTGTCTGGCTAAACACTTTTTTTTTTTTGCTTTTTGGGTCCTACCCAACAGTGCTCAGGAGTTCCTCCTGGCTCTGCATTCAGGAATTACTCCTGACAGTGCTCGGGGGAACATATGGGATGCTGGGAATCGAACCCGGGTCGGCTGTGTGCAAGGCAAATGCCCTCCCTGCTGTGCTATCGCTCCAGCCCCTAAGCGCTTCTTTTCATGTGTCTGTTCCCCTTCCAGCCCGGGCCTGGTTGTCGGGGACCACCCCCCCCGAACGAACACCCCGGTCCCCGCATTCCTCTCTCTGCACCCCAAGATGGGAGCCCACACAGGGCCGGGGACGTGGACACTGTGGAATCCACACCCCCCCTTTCCTAAGGCAGCTTTCCAGGCTGAGCCCCCTAATACCCTCCCACATGCGGCTGGTAGCCGGGGGGCCTTGGAGAGAGTGTCCCCCACCCCCCCACACACACACACCCGTTAGGGCTCATCGACCAGGAAGTTTGGCCAAAGCAACAAAAGCCCCGCACAGCCACGCTCTGGAGATGTGCTCGTTTCCAGAACTCCTCGGGGAGGCCCGCTGGGCCCCGTGCGGGTGGGGGGCGCAGAGGGGGGACACCCACGTGCTGACCTCAGCCCCCCTTCCACCCCACAGCATGGCGTCGTGCCCCGTGCTGGGAAGGGAGTCGCTGTTCCAGGCAGGGGCCCGCGCCTACCGCATCCCGGCGCTGCTCTTCCTGCCCACACGCCGGACCCTGCTGGCCTTCGCCGAGAGGCGGACCAGCAAGAAGGACGAGCACGCCGAGGTCATCGTGCTGCGCAGGGGACAGCTGGACGCGGCTGGCCAGCACGTCCAGGTAAGGTAGCCTCGGGCCACCCCGCTCAGCCGTGGATCTGGGGACCAGCTCACTGGACCCCCCAAGATTCACCCCAGGATCCACGAGGGAGCCCGGGACTTTCTGGGGGGGGGGGCGTCCCGGGTGAGCGGTGGCCAACCTGGGTGGACACACAGGGAGGGCAGGAGGGTCTGAGAATTTTCTCTGCGTCCCGGAAAGGGGGTTTGTAAAGGAAGCGGGGGGTGGGGGTGTCACGGGGCTCCCACACCCACCTCGATGCCCACCTCCCTCATCTGGAGGTGCTGACCCTCCTGTAACTTGCCTGACCTCCTTATCGCCACTGCCCCCCACGGTGTCCACTCTGGCTGTGGAGATGGACTCAGGTTCAAGGGCACACTCAGCAGAGCTGGGGTCCCCAGCCTCCCCTAGCCCACCCCACTGGGGCTTCTCGTGGTCCAATCTCAGATATAATGGGGTGTCAAGAGGGGCTGGAGCGACAGTCCAGAGGGGGGCACGCTTGCCTCAGGGGAGACCCCTGAGCACACAGCCAGGAGCAAGCCCTGAGCACCGTAGGGTGAGGTCCAAAAAACCAAAAACACAAAGGTGGGGGGGGTGATGGCACCAAGAAACCTCCTCCCCCCTGCATCTGGACGGGGCCCTGTGGAAGCAGCTTCTCAGCCTTGGCACTGGTCACTGCCCGGGCTTGGCGTGACCAGCTCGGCGGGAGACCTCGCTGCTCCCCGGCACTGTCCCAGGGATGTATCAATGAAGTTTGAAGGGCTGTGGTGGGAGGTGATTGGCCCCAGCCTGTCCCACGAGTGTCCTGCCAGGGCCTGGCTGGCTGAGAGTGGGGCGGCCAATTAGACAGGCCAGGAAAAAGCTAGGAGGGTCTGACCACCACGGTGGGACCTGAATCAGGGACCCCGGTGGCCAGGGGCTGGTGTGGGGGAGGCCCCGCCGTCCAGCCCTGACCTCCCTCTTGCCTCCGCTCCCCCAGTGGCAGGCTCAGGAGACGGTGACCAGGGCGCAGCTGGACGGCCACCGGTCCATGAACCCCAGCCCCCTATACGACGAGGTCACAGACATGCTGCTCCTCTTCTTCATCGCCGTGCCCGGGCAGGTGTCTGAACACCACCAGCTGCACACCAGAGAGAATGCGGCCCGCCTCTGCCTGGCCACCAGCAGCGACCACGGCCGGACCTGGAGCCAGGCCCGAGACCTGACGGACGTCGCGCTGGGCCGGGCGCCCCAGGACTGGGCCACCTTCGCGGTGGGCCCCGGCCACTGCCTGCAGCTGACAGACGCCGCGCGGACCCTGGTGGTGCCCGCCTATGCCTACCGCAACCTGCCGGACCGGGAGCGGCCGTCGCCCTGGGCCTTCTGCCTCCTCAGCCACGACCATGGCCACACGTGGCACCAGGGTGACTTCGTGGCCCCCGACACGCTGGAGTGCCAGGTGGCCGAGCTGGGGCGCAGCGCCCGGAGGCTGGTATACCTTAATGCCAGGAGCACCGTGGGCCGCCGGGTGCAGGCCCACAGTGCCAGCGGCGGCCACACCTTCCAGCAGGCCCAGGCGGTGGCCGCGCTGGTGGAGCCCCCGCACGGCTGCCACGGGAGTGTCCTCGCCTTCCCCAACCCCCGCGGGGGTCGGGGTGCGGCTGGCAGCTGGCTGCTTTACACACACCCCGCTGACCCCCATGGGAGGAACGACCTGGGCGTGTATCTCAACAAGAGGCCCCCAGCGCCCACCGCCTGGCTGGGGCCCACGTTGCTGGCCACGGGCAGCTGCGCCTACTCGGACGTGCAGAGCCTGGGCCCGGGCCCCGACGGCTCCCCGCTCTTCGGGTGCCTGTACGAATCGCGTGACTACGAGGAGATTGTCTTCCTGCTGTTCACCCTGAAGCAGGCTTTCCCTGAGGAAGCCTAGCTGTGCCCACCCATGCCCTGCTCCTCGGGGGGCTGCCACCTCTGCGGCTTCCTTGGGGCTCCCCCGAGGGCCTGTGTTGGCACAGAACTCTGGAAGCCTGGTCTCGGGGTCCTGGAGGGACAGAGTGGTGGCCGCCTCCCTGGCCAGCGGCCTCTGTGCAGCGCTTTGGTCTCATGTTATGCTGCTGGGCGCTGACCATGGGGAATCCCCCGTGGGTCGCACCCCGGCCTCTGCAGAGTGACGTGGGCCCTGGGGAGGCTGAGACCCCAGTGGGGTGCTTGTGTGCAAGGGTGTGGCTGAGTGAATCTGTGTGTGTGTGTCTCTATGTGTGTGTGTGTAGATGGTGTGTTCGTATGTGCCCATGTGAGTGTGTCCTGTGTGTGTCTCTATGTGTGTGTGTAAATGGTGTGTCCGTGTGTGCTCATGTGAGCGTGTCCTGTGTGTGTGTCTCTATGTGTGTGTGTGTAGATGGTGTGTCCGTGTGTGCCCATGTGAGTGTGTCCTCTGTGCGTGTGTGTCTATCTGCATGTTTGTGTATGCGTCTGTGCGCTCCCTTATGTGTGTCTGTGCACACATGTCCTCTGTAAGGCTCCGGGCAGCAGCAGGGGCCGAGTCAGCGAGGAGGGTGAGAGTGTGGGGGTTCCTGTCCACCCTGTGCTGTCCCCAGGCCACTGTGACTGGCTCCTCCAGCAGCGAATTCTCTGGGGCTGGAGGCTGCACTCAGAATCTGGCTGTTCTGGCTCTTCCCGGCTGCTCTGGGGGTGCTGTGTGTGCCCCTCACAGCCCCTGGAGGAGTTTGGGGTACAGAGCTGCGGGGGCCCCTTCATGATGACAGGGACGTCTCATTGTGGGGGGACAGGGTACGGGTCTTGTTCACCGACAAGGCTAGGAGACTGTGTGGGAGGGGTCTGACTTGGGGTCCTGGGGTCTCTGTCCCACGGGGCGTGGGTCCAGTGGCATCTCGGAGGACGCAGATGGCGGGACCAGGCATGTGGGGGCTGGGTGTAGGTGAGTGGCCGAGCGGACAGTGGGACTGTCCAGGCAGGGTGCTCGCTTGCTTCTGGTGTTTCCCCAAATCCAGCTGGTGGCGTGAGAAGTTGGGGTCTGGCCGTTGCTGGGATGCAAATTTAAGCCCCTATACTTGGGGGGCTCCAAACCCCACAAAGCTCGCTGTGGGCGCTGGGGGGTGAGAACGTGGGGTCCAACCTGGGACAGGCTGAAAGGAGGCCACTATCAACAGCGGCACCAGGACAGGACCAGCAGGCCTCGGTGGCCACACACTCGCCTTGTAGACTCGAGGCCAAGAGTTGGATCCCCAGCACTGCCCACGTGCACCGGAGCCAAGCGTGAACCCCGTGAGACAGCCGCAGCCGCCACACGAAGGGAGGGAGAATAAACACGTGTTTAAATGCACTAAGAGCGGGGCTGGAGCAATAGCACAGCAGGTAGGGCGTTGGCCTTGCACGCAGCCAACATGGTCGACCCGGTTTCGATTCCCAGTATCCCATATGGTCCCCCGAGCACCGCCAGGAGTATTTCTTGAGTGCATGAGCCAGGAGTAGTAACCCCTGAGCATCGCCGGGTGTGACCCCCCCCCAAAAAAATAATAATAAAAAAAATAAGTGCACTAAGAGCTACACTTGGGGGAGGGGGGACCATCCACAAGCCCAGAGGTGTAAGAAGCCAAGTCCAAGGGGGGGCGGGCTCAGGGGGCTGCTCGTCTGGTTGGGGTCTCGAGAGGGTTCCTGAGCCGGAAGGCTGTCGGGCTTCCACCCAGCCAAGGCCACTCTCCCAGATGCCACATTTCCAAGCTCAAGGCGCTCGGAAAGTCCCCAGGGAGCTTCTAAGCTTCGAGGGCCGGGCAAGTGTCCAAACACCCCGGAGTTGTCCTGGTGTGAGTGTGTGTGCGGTGAGCTGACTGGCTTGGGGAGGGCGGAGATGCCGCGTGCATCAGAGGCTTCCCGAGGAGAGAGAGGCCCAGACAGCCCGGCGCTCTCAGAAAAACACTGACCAGTCCAGGGCCTCCAGACAGTGTAAAGAACTCTTACACACCTACCCCCACACCACTGACCAACTATTGACCAGTCCTCCTGGCCCGTTTTCCCTGGCTTTGGATATTAGTACCATACTGTTTATTTTTTTTAATACATCCCACAAATGAATGCAGACATTATTATCTGTCTCTCTCCTTCTGACTCATTTCACTCAGCACAATACTCTCCAGGTCTATCCATGTATAGGCAAATTTCATGACTGAATTTTTCCTAACAGCTGCATAGTATTCCATTGTGTGGATGTACCATCGTTTCCTTATCCAGTCGTCTGTTTCTCGGGCACTCAGGTTGTTTCCAGCTTCTGGCTATTGTGAGGAGGATCCCTTAGGACAGTACTAGGGGGAAATGATCACTCTGGACAAGGTCTGAGTGTTGGAAGCAGGTAAAGGGATATAGATGATAACCTCTCAGCATCTGTATTGCAAACCATAGTGCCCAAAATGAGAGGGAGAGAGAGGGAGAAAGAGAGGGAGAAAGAGAGGGAGAGAGAGAGAGGGAGAGAGAGAGGGAGAGAGAGAAAGGGAGAGAGAGAGGGAGAGAGAGAGAGGGAGAGAGAGGAGAGGGCCTGTGATAGAGGCAGGCTGGGGTGGGGCATGGCTTGAAGGGGCAGGAGGGATCCTGGGGACACTGTGCTGGGAAATTACACTGGTGGAGGGATGGGTGTTGGAATATTGTATCACTGAAACGCAATCATGAACAATTCTGTAATACTCTTACTCATGGTGATTCAACAAAAAAAAAATTAATTTTATGGGCTGGAGTGATAGTATAGCAGGTAGGGCGTTTGCCATACACGCGGCCAACCTGGGTTCGATTCCCAGCATCCCATAGGGTCTCTCGAGCACTGCCAGGAGTAACTCCTGAGTGCAGAGCCAGGAGGAACCCCTGAGCATCGCTGGGTGTGACCCAAAAAGCAAAAAAAAAAAAATAATAACTGTAAAAGAGGAACTCTTACACAGCAAAAGCAGAGAATAGTCTCTCAGGCTGACCCAAGACAGGCAACAGGCTGCCGACTCTCGGCCCTCGGGGAACACCCCCTGAATCATATATCAGAAAGGGAGGGGAGGGGCATGTGCTGGTGAAGACATGAGAGGACAGGCACTTCTGTGTTTCTGGAGCTACTCCTAGCTCTGTGCTCAGGAGTGAGTGTTGGCCTTTCCCAGGGGGGACACAGGAGGTGCCCTGGATTGAACAGGGGTGGGCCGCATGTAAAGTCAGAGCCTCAGGCCCTGTGCTAACTCTCTGGCCCTCCCTTGTTGGGGGTGGAGGATTCTTACGTTGGGCCCCACATAGTAATGAAAGGGTTAACTTGCTGCTGAATGCTGCCGGCAACTTCCAGGCCTTGGGTTGAAGGGTCTCCTGAGTTTATGATCCAATCTATATGAAGCTCAAGGCAAAGGTGATGGGTGGTAAATGAGTCATGAGGGGGTCATTTCTCGGGGAGAGGAGGGCTCTTCCAGGAAGGAGCAAGGAAGAGACTTCTGGGAGCTGGGAACGGTCACTGTTTGCTCTGCTGCCTGGAAAAGTTCACAACTTGGGACTGGAGCAAGAGCACAGAGGGGAGGACTCTCGCCTTGCACGCGGCCAACCCAAGTTTGATCCCCAGCACCTCGTAGGGTCCCCTGATTCCTGCCTGAAGTGAGTGCAGGGCCAGGAGTAAACCCTGAGCATTGCCGGGTGAGACTGAAAACCCAACCCAACCCAAGCCAAAACAACAAATCACTGTCTCACTGTCATCCTGTTGTTCATCGATTTCCTCGAGCAGGCACCAGTAACGTCTCCATTCGTCCTAGCCCTGAGATTTTAGCAAGTGCCACATTCGAGACTCTTTCGGGGTCAGGGGAATGAGACCCATCATTGTTACTGGGTTTGGGCACATCGAATACGTCACGGGGAGTTTGCCAGACTCTGCCATGCGGGCAGGATACTCTCGGTAGCCTGCCGGCTTCTCCAAAAGTCACAGTCATGGTTACGGTCCTCCCGTTGTTCATCGATTTGCTCGAGCGGGCCCAGTAACGTCTCCATTGTGACACTCGTTACTGTGTCTGGCATATCGAATACGTCACGGGGAGCTTGCCAGGCTTTGCCGTGCGGGCGAGATACTCTCGGTAGCTTGCCAGGCTCTCCGAGAGGGGCGGAGGAATCGAACTCCAAAAGTAAGAACTAGATAATAACAAATAAGTTCACAAAGCCGTACAGATGGACGGTGTGGAGACACACACACCACCATAAAGTAACGCAACAACACATACAAGGTCAGCCGAAGCCTGGGGGTTGTTAGTTAAGCCTCCAAATCTGGCCAGTCTCGGGGGTTTGACCATCGCCACCTCGGAGGTAAGTGTTTGGTGGAGCCCTGGGTTTAATCACCAGCCCTGCAAAAAAAAAAAAAAAAAAAAAAAAAAGGGAAACACAAAAGATTTGGAGTGGAATTTTTAAACTTTTTTTTGAGAATAATTTTAGATTCGCAGGAAAATTACAAAGCTAGTAGGAGTGCTCGCGTGTGCCCCCCAGATCCCCCAAATGTTACCATCTTACATAACTCGTACATTTGTCAAAACCAAGAGACTCACTTCACCCAGCAACGTTCACCGCGCCCAGCCTGACCCGGCTCCCACCGGCTTTTCCACCCGTGTCCTCTGCTGTTCCCGGGTCCCCTCCAGGGGACAGTGGGAGCATTTGGGGAAACTGATTTTCTACCAGACTGTGTGCCCTCAGACAGGACCAACAGACGAACTCCAACCGTGCCACCGTGAACCCACCTCTTAGGGACCCCTCATCTGCCCGGTGGGGCAGCGAGCAAAAATGCAGGGGAATGCGTCCTGGGTCTGCTCTGCTGGAAGCAAACACAGAAGCAGTTCGGCCCCGGCATGCAGGGAGCCGGCCCTGGCACCTGTCACAACAGGGCCGCTCGGGGCTGGCAGTGCCACATGGGGGTTGGCGTGGGGG